TATATATATATTATGTTATGTTGAAGTTTGTATCAGTGGCAACTGGCACAACTCACTCACTCGCGTTCCAAACTCGCGCTAGCAAGTGAAGCACATTTCCCACGCTAGATGGCACTAGTGTACAACGCAGACGAGTTTTTCCGCGTGACTACCGCCGGTGACGGTGTAAACATATATACGGGGGTAAATTATGCGCACAGTTTGACCTCGTTGATTTATGAGAAGCAAACACAGTCCGCTATTTACTACTATGTAGTTAACCATTAACAATGTGTTTGGTATTCAAACTGACCACACAGTTAAATTGACCGCCAGCCAAGCTCCCCCACCGCCGCTCTTATAAGTTAACCCACTTGGTCCTCAATAGACTGACCGCCGCCTGACCTTCCTACCGACCACCTTACAATTCTCCGGCCTCCCTGATCACGCTCCCGATCCTATCTTCCAAACCCCCTGAGCTCCCTCCTCACCCTGCAACCCCCTTACGTCCCTCCAAACACCCCAGAACACCCTTGCGATCCCCATATAACCACCTAACCTTCCTCACCTCCCTCCCAACCCCTCCCGATCTCCTCACCTCCCTCCCAACCCCTCCCGATCTCCTTACCTCCATCTCGACCCCCAGAACTCCGTCCCGACCCCCTTACGTCCCTCCCACCTACTGACCTCCCTCCCAACCCCCTATCGACCCATCTCCCCTCTCACTTCCGACCCCCTGACCTCCCTTCCCTCCCCCTTACGACCCCCGTGACCTTGCTCTGACCTTCATGTCCATTGTACTGATGGCTTCTTGGAATGTGGTGTCGGAACAATGCAGCATCATTGTCGGGTCGACCTCGGCTTTCTTCGGTGCCACCTGTTGAGGGAAACGTGAAGCATGAAAGAGATGACACAATGGGAGGTTTCTAAACATTCCTGAGCATTCTGCTTATTTCGCCCTCACCGTTGCCATGGTTACCATGGTAGCTATGGTTGTCATGACAACTGCAACGCTGCAGTGGTAAGAATGAATGAAATGCGGATCAAGCATGGCTAAATTACACAGGAATCTATTCCTTTCCTGCCCCCATTCTTCCCAAGCCCTTCCCTTTCCTGTCCCTAGCCTTTCTGCCTTCCTTATTATTGCCGCAGCCCTCTTCTATTCTCTGTTTTTGCCCCTGCCCTCCATTCCCATCCATCTATGCATCCATCCATGTATGCATCCATCCATCCATGCATGCATGCATCCATCCATCCATCCATCCATCCATCAATCCATCCATCCATCCATCCATCCATC